TCTGCACTCGAGAGGACATTATTACACTGATACTGCATATAGCTTTCAGTCATTCAAGCTGCTCCTATTTCCCTGCAAGGCTCCTCCATCTCTTTCTTCCATACAAATGAAGTACGCTGAAACTGTAATTCCTCAGATTTTTCTGTTTACAGCAAAGCCAAATATCTCATACCTACATCCTACTCTCTTTTCTCTTTCATCTGGTAGCATTACCCTTGTTCTTTCTTCTAAGCAGCACCAGTGTAACTATTTGTGTGACTTTGTGGGGAACACAATAAGAGGTCTCATGAATGCTACAACTGTCCCCTCTCCCACTGTCATTTTCTTCTGCACAAGTTTTTACAAATCTAATGGAATACAACTGCTTCTACTGCCACATCAGTTAGGAAAATACCTGTAGAAGCATAATGTCTGTGTTACTTCAGTTATCTTACTTAATTACTCCAAGTTTAATGCAAAATAAACAAAAGTTACAATACTGGAAGCAAAATGTTCACAAAAAAAAACCAAACATGAAATGCAGTCCGAGTGTATGTTTAATACTTTTAGATACCTTTTTAACTACATAGTTTCTGGTAATAGTCCAATTATATGAGCAAATATGAACATTTTTAGGATATGAGGCTATATGTCATTTACTATACAAAACCCCATTATTTTTAACACAGAATTACAAAGAGAGTAAGTAATTGAGAAAACTCTTTTTTTTAAATTTCCATTCAGATCCACGCATAGTCCACGAATCTTCAGGCTAAATATAAGTTCTAGCAAGAGGGCCATATAGTACTATAAACAGGCCACTAGAAAGTGCTGTAAGAAAAGTGATAAAAACTCACATCAGACACCAAAAAATCATACAAACAGAAAGAGGACTGATTTAGGACCTGCGAATATGCAAAGCTGATCAAATCTGTCTGTCTGTATCAGCCAAGGTAGCAAATTGCAGGTAAAACAGCTGCTGGCAGACAAGCATCTAGATTTTTATTGAGGAAATGCAATAAAACACTGAGATAAGTCTAATGGAAATATGATTTCACATGCCACAGATACTGAAAATCTTAAAATCTATTTTTCTGAATTTCTTAGCCTCCAATAAAACAAAAATTCAGCTTTTCCCATTTCAGCTGGCACTGGTAATACATTTTCTCTTGAGAAAAGTCTTTGGATTTAGTACCTCTATAGTAGCCAGCTATGCTTTATTAATATTAATTAGTAGTAATTGTTTAGAAGTGTCAATGTCAGGAAGAGAACTTAAATCTACTAATGCCCATCTGTTATTCTGACTGCCATTCTCACAAAGACAGTGTTAATTTTATTAAAATAAATTAATGCAGTAATCAAAACCCAAAAGAGACCAGGAATGCAGGTCCGTTCATCATTTCACCATGAAAGTGAGATAGAAAGAGGTTGAGTATAGAAAACAGTGCCTTATGCTCCTTAGTGAAAGTTACAGATTGGGAGACAAGTTTCAAAACAATATGAAATGTGAGGGCAATTTGGCTCAGATTTCTAGAATTCAGAAAAGTAAACATTGATTTCTGGTTATAGTTGCAGTGGTTGGTACAGTAGCAGCAGGAGTATGAGAGATGGGGATTTCTTCTAACTGTATTTTAAAATGGGCTTGCAGCCTTGAGAAGGAAAAAAAAAAAAAAAGCCAAGACATGATCTTATTTTGTGGTGATGAGATGACTTCACAGCATCTTGAGACCTCTCCAACTTACTATGTGGTATTAAATGGAAAGCTCATCCTTATCAGCTGCTAGGAATAAGTGCTTAGTTGTGCCTCCATTTTTTTCTTTTCTGTGTTTTGGGGAAATGGAGAAAGACATGGTACTTAAGCCTCAAATATTTTCTGCTGATTCCCAGTGCTGCCTTGGTGCTTGCATTGCTTGTTTCACTTAAAAACAAAAGCCTCAGCATTCATTTCAGTAAGGTTTTATTTTTCATTTGGATTTTTGTTTTTACCTGTAGCCTTATATACACTAAGCTTTTCAGATGGCAGTGTGATACACATAACAATCTATTACGGGATCTGTAGAGGGAAACTATTGTAACAGAAGGCAAGAAATAATCATAGTACAGTTGAATAAGGTTGAGAGCAAAATCACTGTATTACTAGCACAGACTTCATGGCTGGCATCTCTAAACTTTGGCAAAACCTGGCTCTTTCTTTTCCTATTTCATTTAGTTCACTGAACTGCTTTCTGGTAAAACCAGCTTTCTGCCTGAGTCAGCACAGCGGGAACAGTGGTGCCCCAGAGGGCTCAGTCCCCTGTGACAGGCAGTGTGACCACCTCTGGCACATCAGAAGCCTTGAAAGGGACAAAGCTCCTGGGAAAGGATGTCCTGCTGTCCGTCTGCAGGGGCAAAGGGAGAGCTCTGCAGGAGGAGGGTTGGGGATCTTGGTGGACACCACACTGAGCTTGAGCCGGCTGTACACACTTCCAGTGATGAAGGGTGACCACACATGGGGCTGCATGAGTAATACTGTAGTCAGCAGGTGAAGGGAAGTGATTATTCTCCTCTTCTTTGCATTCCTGAGGCCACATTTGAAATACCTGCATCTAAAGTACTGTGTCCAGTTTTTGTCTTCCTGTGGAAAAGAGATTTGTATTTTAAACCAGTTAGCGAGGAGGCTAGACTCGAGGCCTTGCGGGATCCCTCACACCCTATTTGATTCTGTGCAAGTATTCTGTCAGAGAAGTGTTCAGATCTCTAGATGCATTTGTTTGAATCTTGTTAAATGTCTTTATAACTGATCATTGTATTTTAATAGGGTAAAGGACAACAGGAGTTTGCTGCTGCACTATTGCCAGCACCATGTTTCAAATAATAAAATAATGGTTAATTTTTATAATAAAACTTCGTATTTTTCAATCTTGATTGCCTGTGCTGGTTGCATTAGTTGTTAGCTGCAGAGTTCCCTTCTGTGATCTTTCGTCAGCGACTTGTAGAATTTCACACTGCTTGGGTAAGGCATTCGCATTTCATACCTTTAAGCATCTACTGAAGCTGAGTTAGTAACTAGGTGCTCTGTGGATTTAGTGAAGAGCACGTACTGTTTCTTGGCTCTGTTAAATGCTCTGGATTGTCCTCTCTGCCTGTGTAAGGATTCTACCATCTTAGCTTTGATATTTGAACTTGATATCTAAGTTAGGCATTGCGAATGGCTTCTCTTCATGGCACCACATTAAGTCTGTTACCATGCTCCACTGTGTATCAAAGCGTAGGGAATGACAGATCTTCACTGTCTCGGTGGGGTGTTGAAGAGATCATACCATAAGTCATTCCGTTACAGCACTGTTGGGATCTTTGTCAGAGCCTGCGGTAAAAGGAACAGTGTACTTGAGAGGTGATTATTTCACTCAGTTTACTTGAAGATGACAAAAAGATTTGTTTTGACCTTTTCTTTCTTTCTGAAGAGGTGAAACAGATTTACTGAAATGAAAGTGACACAGAATTCTGCCATTGTCATCAGCTTTGAGTAGTTACTGTGATAATTCAATCATGAAAGGAAAACAAGGGAATCAGCCAATATATATTTAGGTCTTCAGAACAAGAAAGTTGTTTTTGCAAACAGCAAGTATAACATTTTACAACTCTTAACAGTAAAGCATAGAGGTTAATATATATATCTATTAGGATCCTTTGTCTTGTTAATATTTTGTGTGATGGGTATTTTATATGACCTTTTTTAGCAAATATGTAGAGTTCAGTATTCATGTTCATCATCAAACTTCCTACAAATGACAAATGATAGGTTAATAACTTTTTCAGTAAGTCATGAATGGATAACTGCTTATTAACCTCTATGTGTCATCTTGAATGCTTATGTTGACATACATCATAAATTAAGCAGTAGAGGTCTTTGCCTTAGATCAGAGAATCCCAGGAAAACCCAGCAATTTCACAGAGCAGTATTCTTGAGTCAGTAGTTTGCTTTCTTCTAGGTTAGTACCAAAATGAACGCAATACAGCACATAAGTATAAATATCTAATTTGTAAATGTAGAAGGTAACAGTGACATTTTCCAAACTATATACAAAACAAACATATGCACCATCGTTCAGATAATTATAATTGTCTTTCAGAATCATATATGCTAAAGTCTAATTCTGTTGACACTCATGGGCACGTAAATAATCTGTGTAGCTTTCTGAAGTTTAGTTCCTAAAACTATTGCATGTCACATGTTTTAAATTTAGACCAGTGTATTTTCATGCCACTACTTAATGAAATTCTGTTGTTCCTACTGAAAAATCTCCTAGTTAAAAAGTCATGTCCCACCAGCAAATGGGGGGGATTTCAGAGTTACATGCACATGCCTAACTTACTACAGATAGCAAGGAGAGCACTGGCATTTTCGGAATAAAGCTGCTATAACCACGTAAAAGATTCATAAAAAACAAATGAAATGCAATTGCACATTAGCATGTGTCAATGCTGTTTTGAGAAAGAGCTCTACATTCAAAAATGTTTTAAAGAAACCTCTAAGTACATTTTTCAAATTCACACATCACAAAAGTGCTTAAAGGAAACATTGTTTAGAATGTTATGCAGAAAAAGATAGAAATCCAAGAAATTCAAGCTAGGGAAGGCAATTCTTTGCAAATTAATACATTGCTAGTAAATGAAACCAAGATGAAATAAAGAAAATAATCATTTTGGTTTAAAAAAATACTATGTTTGTTTAAAAAGATCTAATGCATACTTCCTGAATACCCTACCTTAGGTTGAGTAATTATGAACATAATATTTATGCTCAAAGGAAGTAAATGATCAGCACATATATATGCTGGTACAGAGAAAATACTTGTTGTATGTATTGTTCATGGTACTGCCCATTATTATCCTTACTTTAGTTGCCTTTCTTTTGATTTATAAAGTTAAGCCTCAAAACTTGTCAAAAGGTGTTAAAATCGCTTGAAAACTGAGACATATTGGGCAGTTTCAGAAAACTGACATATCTTCCTTTACGGATGTATTTCTTCTTACTGCAGATCTAATGCATTTGAAGTGCTGGCACTCGATGGAGTTAGTACTGGGATACTTCAGTTTTATACAGCCCAGGAGAGTGCTGACTGGCTGAGAGCAATATCAACTAACATCAGTGATTTGACACTTCAAAATGTATGTTTCTTTCTGCATATTTTCTTGTCTATGCTATTGTAAAATTATTTTTAATTTTCCAAGGGTAGAAAATAATTCACATTTAAGATACAATATATAAAGCGCATGTGTATAGGGAGGAAAAGGAGAAAGGAATGAGCAGGGCGAGGTTGTTTGGGCAATCAGAAGTATCACGAAGTTTTCAATACTTGCAGTGTTGTTATAGAAGAGAGAGTGCAGAAAATCAGATTGCATTTATTACTTTAAAGACTTTTTAAGGAAAAATATTTATCCTTTCTGATCATTTCACAGAGCTTTAGATATGACCAAATATTTCATTTTCACATTTTTGTAATTAAAATGTGCTTGAAATTAGTATTTTTTTATTTTGAAGTAGGAATGTGGAAATTCTGTAGCTAGTGAAGTGTCACTTGTAGAGGCTTATTGGGAGACGGTATTTTTACCTCTCTAGTTTGTCTAGAAGTGGATTTATTTAAGGTGATGTTATTCCATCTTTCTCCCTAGAAACATAAAGGTGCTTATGCTGTTTTAAGTTATTCATAAGTAGCATTTGCTATTGCAAGCAGAAATATTATATAATCCCTGGAGAAACAAAAAAATGTTGTTTGGAAAGCACAGTATTATTCCAAGAAAGAACTGAAAGCTGTTGAAGATTCTGGAATGAATCATAAACAGGGAACTCGATAATATACAATATTGAAAATATATTTCAATCTTTTTGAAATGGTAGAAATCGATGGTGAAAACATAAGAGCACAGCTGTCCCTGGAAGAATTGCATGTGCAGGTTTTTAATCTTTTCTTTCTTAGATGTTTTCAGACTGTAACTTCTTTTATAAATTATGATGTAGGAGCATGTCTTTAATTTATACTTTGTATTCTGGGTTTATTGTTACTTAGTTCTTCAGATTATATTGTGTAGAATTTGTAATGGATTTCGACATAAATCTTTGGTCAAAACAGATTATAAATCGAATTTTTTTTTCTGGTCTTCGAAAGTTGGAATCACATTTGATCACAGTACTTCATTTATTATGTTAATTCTTTTTAAATATTCCATTGCTTAAGCAATGTTTGACAAAACTGAACATATTTACTTACGGTACATTCTATATAAATATTCTCTATTATCTGTTTAGTGATTTACATCATTTACAGGGTATTACTATTTGATAATTCTAATAAAGCAATGTAAATTATTAATGCAATTTTGTAATTACTTCTGTGTAAATAGCAAAAGGAAGTGTAAGGTAGTATTTTTAGAGCAATTCCATAGCAGAGTTACTAAGCCCATTTCTTTTGCTGTCTAAAGAAATTAACTGGATAAAAGCCACTCCAAGGATATAGGTGAATAAGACAATGAGAAGTGGCTATAAATGCAAGCAGGTTTTATTCATTGTAGAGTTCTAGTCTGTTTTTTTCAAATGCTTTATGTACAGTAGCATGTGTCCTGACATAGTATCTTCACTCTGTTGTGACCTATGTGCACCAGTGTTTTGTTATATACTGAGTACTTGCATTGGTCTCCTCCGTTCTCTATCACAATAGTGAATTCTGTAAACAAAGGAGTCCATCTGATGTTCGTGTAAGTGGCTGTTCCAGAGGAGGGTCTGAGAAACAACATCACATGTTTTGTGTTCTTGGTGACATACAGAGTAAATTCTATACGGATCGTATGAGAAGCAAGTAAACGTTTCCTTGGACTTCATGCTTTGCAGGTTTTGTCAGGTGTGCAGCCTATGGTACAACTGGAAAGGTCTGGGCAGAACATTGTTTTAATTACTGATCATCAGAACAGGAGATGTAGTAGTCAGTGAGAATCCCTTTCATTGAAAACCATTTTTTAAGACGAGGACTGTGAGGCTGGAGTGCAGCTGAAGTGTCCAGCAAAAGGTGGCTGGAGAGCCGGAGGACGAGGACTGTTTGACATCCACGGCGTTTACGGCAGGGCGTTTGGATCAGCCTGCTTGAAAATCCATTTTGAATGCTTTTTATTACCTTAATATTGTAATTTCACAAAATTATTCTTTTCTTATCGTACTTCTGAAATTGAAGTTAGGGAATGGATCTGTAATTCCTCAGAGCTTTTTCCTGTTTCTGCACGTCTCCACTTCTGCAGAGCGTCTGCCCCGTTCTCCAGGAGTACCTGAAGATAATCACTACTGGTTCAGTGGTTACTTCAGATAATCCCTTATCTACTTACGGGTTAATTTCTTGAGTCCTTGCTGGCTCTAAGTTCAATTGCTTCTCCAAATATTTAAACTATTCATTTCTCATTCTGTCCTGTGCTATCATCTCTGAAACATAAATTAATTGCTCTATAGGTGGTTACAATGGACCTTCTTGCTGATACTGTTGACATAAAGAACGTCAGCATTCTTACCTGACCTATTACTAAGTCTTAAGCAATACTTTCCATTGTTTACTTTTTACTTCCACACATTTCTAGATTTTGTTTGTGCTGATACTTGTTTCTTGACTTTAGCAACTCTTCTTGCACCTTGATCATTCTTACTTCGTCTGTGCCTAATCATGCTACTCTTATATATAACATTTGTCATACACGTTTGCATACCATTCTGAATCATTTCTTTTAGAGTTTTAGTTGTTGAAGAGCTCGTGATATAGATTGTTTTCTGACAGTGCGCCCTATCTTTCATGTATCACTTTATCCTAATATACTTTATTTTGCTATTTTACCCTAATACAGGCTTGTTCAGCAGCTGACGACTCTTTGTCAGATCTCCTGCTGATGCCAAAAGACAGTCCTAACGTAGGCAGTACAAAAATAGCTCTGCCACAATGTGACACTTCTGCTAATGTCAGACTATTCTTTTGAAGTACTGAAACATCAAACTTCTGTGCAAAGGCAAGCTCTCTGGGGATCAAGTGTAAAGGAGGAGTTGTCTTTCAGTAGTGAAGATGTGAGGAGTCGTCACTGCATAAGGATGCTACCCCTGGATGTTAGCATGTCTAGAAAGTGTTACTTGGTAAATGAGAAGTAATGATTCTGGTACTAGCCTGGAGAGAGTTAGTTCTTATAAGAGAGAGGAGCACGTGGAATACTGCAACATGGAGAAAGATGTAAGAGCATCTTTTCAGCCCTCCTTACTGATAGGCCTTGTATGCTTAGCTCGGAAAATATAGTAACTGTCAGCTTTACAAGCAGCATAGATTACTTTTTTTTCTAAGGACCCTTGCCCAAAATTATTCATCACTCTGTTCAGATTCTTGTTTTTCACATACTTTTCAACCAGCATGAAACTTCCCTATGATCTTCCTTTGTGATTCAGTCCTCAATCTTCTCAATGTCTCAAAGCTCTTCACATTTACCTTTTGCAGAAGAAAATAGAGATGAATCGACAGCTCGCATCTATTTCTTCATACACCTCTTTTCTCGCAGGAGGAGATACAGTTGAAGAAACTGAGAGGAAAGAGGGAACAGAAACTGGCAGTCAAACTGCCATGGTGAAAGTAGCAGCACAGGAAACAACTTCATCTGCACATGCTTCTCACTGCTCCTGTTCTTAGTTTGTTCACCTAGAGAGTTCTTTGTAGGCTGAAGTGGCAATGCTATGCTGGAGATGTTTTTTTAGGAGAGAGTTCTTTGGAATAATTTGTATTTCTCTCCGTGTTTTGCACCTTTTGGATAGCCAGCTATTAAATATGTGCAGCTTTTCTCATGGATCTTAATTATTTACTTTGAAATGTGACACTGAACATTAATGTAGTCATATCCAGTATAAGCACCTAAAGATAATGCTGCCAGTTCATTTATATTATAGAGACTTGGTTTTTTATACTTATAACTTTCTGAAGGTTTGTGGGGTTTTTATGGTGTTATTTTTAAAAAAAAATAATTGCAAATAATTGAGTAGTTTATAAGCAGGTAAGAGAATGAGTTAACATACAGTTGTTCCACTTTAAACATTATTTATGATTTTTATAAAACATTCCATCAGTTTCACTAGAGGATAGTAGAAACCTAAAATTTGGCTTCAGAACAGGGTTATTAATCTGAGTCATATTTATGCCTTTGATAGCTTTTTAAATTGTATATGCCATAGTGTGTAAACCTTTTCTTTTATGCCTTTATGTACATGTATATCTAAGTGATACTCTGTATCGCAGTGGAGTGGAATTTCTGTTTGAATAGGGAGAGACTTATGAAATAGGAGCTTTGAGCATACATATAAAAAAAGAAAGAGGATTGAAGAGGTCTTGCTTTGTTTACACAGCAGAATGTGGGGTACATGTAGATGGAAGCAAAATCCTTGTGTGTAGGAAGCAGTATACAAATTTGACTGCCTCAATGATTATACAAACAATTCTGTTCCTGGGATGAAAATACATGATAGTATTTCTTTGCTGCTGCTTTTTTGTTGTTTGTTTTTAAACTCAAAAATTTCCATTTGAAAGTACCACAGTTCAAATCACTGAGGTTGTAAAGGGAAGTCAGTAAGGGTAGGAATCACATCAGCTAAATTTAACCGAGCAACAAGCAGTCACATAGGATCCTCTTACAGGCAGGAAAAAAAATAGGTGCCTGTCCAAGATCATTCTCTGTCTCTGCTGTCTGGAAAGAGAATATAGGTATATTGGATGTGTAACTCTTTTTCCTTTTTTGGCTTACCAAAGTGAAGTGAGATAAATCCCAGCCTGGGAAGTATTTGGAGTTAGGTATACAGTTCTGAATCATTTCTTCCCCATTCCGTTCTTTCCCTGTGTGTGTTCATTTACAACAGAGTATAGGAATTACAATTTCTTAATGGCTCCTCTTCCAGGTTGCCTGCAGTCTTTCAAGATCCAGGTTTTTTCTTTTAGTTCCCCTGCTGTCTCCAGCTCCCATTACTGTGCTGCAGTGCTGAGAGCTCATGCGCTGCCAGCAAGGTGCAGCGCATCCCATTTGTATTCCTGTCTCTGCACCTGCTCTGGAGGCATGTAGAGCACATGTGGTGCCAGGTGAAGTGGAGAGTGCATGCTTCTCTCTCCTCAGCCCTGTGACACAGGGACATAACATGATGCAGAAGGAGAGCTTTCCTCTCACCAGTTACGTCAGGGCTGCAGCCATCCCTGCTTTGCATAGGGAATGAGCTAAGGCTGTGCAGTGAATAACTGTGGAGTCCAAAGCATTCTTCCCTATTGCCCTTACCAATGGCAAGCTGGACTGGTTCTGAGGATCCTCTTCACAATACTCTACCCTCATTCTGCAGAAAAACTGCATGGCCAGTCCCACACACATTTTTCCAGGCACATCTGAGCACAATAAAATAAAAAGTCGGATAACAAAATTTGGTTTTATCATATAGGGAGCTTAAGTAGTTTGACTGAACCAAAACGGAAGGTGAAAGGAGACAGGATACCTGCTAATCCTGTTTATTTGCACTGATTTATGCTATGATAATCTTATTATTCAGCATGGTTTTGGCCACCTGAAAAAACATAGTATTTCCTGTCTGTATAACATGGCTTCTATATAGTTACTTTGTGTATGTATTTGTCTCTGAAGCAGTGGAGAAAGTTTGGAGCTGAATATGGGCAGGGTGTGATGGCATTCCTACTGATGTTGAAGTACCCCAGGTGCCTTTTCATTAGGTCCTGCCCAACTGCTTGGGAGTAAGCCTGTTATTGAATCAGACTGGTGAGGTCTGCTTCCTTCTGCCACACTGGGGATGTCACCAATTTGTTTTATACAAGTTAGAGTGGCGTTCTTGAGTTCCTGCTGGTTGGTTAGTGTCCAGGCCCTGAGAGCACCAAGAAGCTCTGCCACCTCTTCCCCCTCCTAAAGTGCTCCAGGCCACCTCTGGCACGGTGCAGCTGGAGGTCAGACTGCCTCAGGCAGAACTGTGTGCGAGAGCTGCAGGGAACCTTCCTGGGCCACCCTCCCTCGGCTTGGCAACTGCGTGTCAGCTCCGTCCTCGTCATCAGTCCTCATCTGTGCTATGGTGCGGGTGACTGTACCTGCAGGCTGTGACCCGCCTCTGTTGTGTTGGTCCCCGTTCCTCCTCTGGGGTGGCAAGGAGGTGGTGGGGAGCATGGCAGGGCTTCTCCAAGGGGCTGGCAGGCTCTCGCAGCTCTCCCAGCACTCTCGTAAGGTCACAGCCAGGCCTGCCAGATGCCCCAGGCCCTCAGCAGATCTGGCACCTCATCCCCAGAGCCTTGGTCACTCCCAGCTGTCTGACCCACCAGCACACCTGCACCACAATCCAATGCAAATCACACAAATCAATTCAGATGGACTGCAAAAGTGAGCATATGGGGGAGAACGAGCCCTGAGGGCCCATGATGAGTTAGGATGGACTGGTGAGCTCCTACAGCCCTGAGCCTTGGTATCACCCTGTGTCTGTACAGTCAAGCTCCTGCTGTCATCCTGTACTCATCCACATTGCGTTTTGTCATGGGGTCATTTTGTTTGCGGTCATGGATAATTCACTCTGTGCAGAATAGTGACTTTTTATTGCCAAGACAGCCCAAGACAAGTCCAGCCAAACCCTGACACATGCTGAGGCCTGTGTAATTAGCGTAACACAAAGCCTGTTGGCCTCTTACAGGTGTACGGGGTCTGGCTGAGATGGAGGTAACTTCCTCCATAGCAGCCATATCGTCCTGTGTTTTGTATGTGTGGCTAAAATGGTGTTAACACACCGGTCTTAAGGCTGTTGCTGAACAGTGCTTGCACAGCAGCAAGGCTTTGATTTTCTCTGACTCTGGCACCACCACCCACAGTGAGGGGTGGGCCAAGGAACTGGGAAGGGACACAGCTGAGACAGCTGACCCAGACTGGCCAAAGAGATACTCCATACCATATAACGTTGTGCTCAGCAATAAGAGTGACATAGTGGACAAAGGAGGTGGGGGTTTGTCTTCCAGGGGGGCAGTTGCTTGGAGGCTGGTGGGGCATCAGTCTCCTTGTGGGAGGCAGTGAGTGATTGCCTTTATATCACTTGTTTTTTTCCTGTTTCCTTCACTTTTTGAACTCTCTTTGTCTTGACCCAAGAGTTTTCATGCTTTTGCTCTTCCTATTCTCTCACCCTTCTGCTGGAAGAGGGAAGGGAGTGAGTGGCTGTGTGGGTGCTTAGCTGCTGGCCACGGTCAACCCACCACAACAGGCAATAGTATCACCATATTTACTGAGCTGCATGGCTGCAGACATGCTCTGCCTCTGAAGATTATCCACAGATTTGATCTTAGATATCTGGTATTGCCAGGATACAACCGATAGTCTTGGATTTCTTCTGCTCTTTTCCTGTGGCAATTGTAGTCCTTCCTGTGCATAGCTGTAGCTTTTGATCTTCTATCACAAGACTTTCATTTGTTATAGAATGGGCTTTTTGATGAAAAGATCCTTTGGAAGTACTCATCAACTGTAGGACAGTTTGCAGCTTATATCCTGACATATAGGGGAGTCTGTCCCTACAGTCATTTATCTTTTTCTGTCTAGATTCCATATTGTTACTACACTTACTAATATTGCACTTTTAAGAAGTGTTTCACTTCAAAGAAGGGAATATCTGTCAGCATTTGTCCGTCACTCATCTATGCAAACTATGGCTGCCAAAGAAAAGCCAAAATCAACAAAACTCTCCATGGTCTGAACAGAGAGGAAAAAGAAAGATATGTAACTTCATCTTGAAGAGTAAACTAAAAGGAAAGCCTTCACAATATTCCCTTCATCTTTAAACACGTCTTACACTTTGTGGCCTTCATTTCACAAGTACTTGACATGCCTCACTTATAGATCTGCTTAAGCAGTTGTTTAGCTGAGGCCTAAGTGAGATGTCTAGAGTATAATATTTTCACTCAGAGTGGCTAAGTTAAATTCATAAATGCAAATCTTTATGAAAGATTTAATGAAAACTCTGATAAAAGTCTTCCCATCTTTTGAGTCTTTGGTTTTGTAAATTTACTGTAATAGTAAAAATATATTATTTATGTACTGAATGATTTAATTTCTTGTGAATATAATTTGGAAGTATTAATATACTATTCAATAACTAAGTCAATGCTAATTTCATCACAGAAATTCTTCAGCATATTAATAACTGTGTATTTTTCCATCTCTCTTTCATAGATGAAAATGGCAAATAAATGCTGTTCTCCCTCAGACCAGGTAAGACTTTAACTATATTAAGGATTTTTTTTAATTTCTTGTCATTGCATTAAGTTGAAAAATTTGTAGAGCTTGCATACACATTTAGTCAGTTTTAAAGTTCTCAAACCAAGTTTCATAGGGTTTGAAATTCTGAAATGACCTACTTAAAACAGCAGATTCTTACTTATCCACAGTAGTGAGTAGAATCCTCCACTATAGACCTAAAATTGGATTAGATGGAGCCATAAAATAAATGAGAAGGGGACAATGGAACTCACAACCAGGTCTTGGAAAGCGTAGTGTATGTTTGCATGCAATACTGCAGAAGTGATTCTGACAAGTTAACTCTGTATTTAGATCACATGCAGTGCACAGATATCCAAGGATCATATTACAAATCCAGTCTGTTTTCATGTGCCCTGCTGTGCAGACTACGTTTGCCATGACTGATTTTCTGGGACTTTTGGAGCTCAGGAGCCTGATGAGATATTTCTTCTGCTCTAACTAGCCAAATGTCCTGAAGACCCAGATGAATATATATCATTGGGAAGTATTCTTACTTCTGGTAGCATTGCAAAGAGTTTTTTCATTTACTTTGTAAAATATAATAGTAGCATTTTCCAGGCTGATTCTGTAATTCTGTGAAGTACTTTGAAGCTTGTATCATAAAACTAATGGGTTTCCCTTATGTATACTTTCATTCCATCAATCTGGCATTGAATCATTATTCAGGAACAAAGAGCCCAATCCCTACTGTTTCCAAAAATGCTGGATTTGTGGATTATAAAAGGGAAAATTAGGCAAGATGTCTTTTATACTGTTTTACTGCAGAAATTTTTTATGGAATTTTATTACAAAAGTCAAAGACTGAGTCAAAAAATTCTTCATATCAGGATCAAATAAATATTTATTAGTTTGAGAGCTTGTATGTTCTTTCATATGCTACCATTTTGTTCTCTTATTTGTAAAATGTATTTGGACATTCGTAGACTCTTCTAGAAGTTATTAAAAATATTTAACCATTGTCATTTTCTTACACAGGAAACTGTTTTCTTGTATTTGGGTCAGTGATTTGGAAAATAAATGTACCTCAAAAACCACTACAGACTTTAATTATATGTATGGTTGGTAACCAACTTACCCCCCAAAACCAAAATAAATACCTGTTCTGTATAGAAGGGAGCATTTAATTGCTGTCTCTGCCATGGCTTTGAATTATTTATTAAACTGGTCTGAAAAACAGGTGGCTGTGAATGCCAGGGGAAAAGGTACTGAATTTGGATATGTTTTGTTGGATGTACTCTCTATACAAGTAATTTAGTAACTATTCAAAGTTTATTCATATCAGTTTGGCCAACATAATGGGATGATGGAAGACACATTCTTCCTCAATTTTTATAAAATACTGGGGACAGACATACAACCTATCACTAACTACCTAATTTGATTTCCTAAATAAACAGGCTAGTCTCCATAAACTGCCTAGATAGCCAGTACAGAAATTGTCTCTGTTCCAGAGAGTTCTTCAAATGCAGAACTGATATCAACACTTTAAATCATCCTTTATAGGAGCCTCTTTTTCTGTCTTGACTATACTGAGATCCTAAGAAGAGTAGCCTCTTACAGTATTCATCTAAAGTGGGTGCAGTAGACAGTACAAATCTATCCCACTTTTTCCATTCCACGAATGAAGAGAAGGGAAGATACAATTAGTACCTTAATTTCAGGAGTTGAAAATTTGAGGTTGGACTGACAGCAACAAGCATTGGATTGTTCTCTGCCAAAAAATGAGAAAAAATAAAGTTTATTTTACTGGAAGAGCTGCCTTGGACTAAAATTGGTGATAGCTGCAAATTTATATTTGCTTTTGAGTATGGACATTCCTGAAGAATTAAACAGGTCCTCAGAGCTCCATTATTGTGTCACCTGTGGTGGGTTTTCTTCATTGCCTTTAGAGTCCAATTTAATCTTTCATAAAAGGACGAGGTTGGATCAGGATAGGTTTCATTCAGATTCTGTTTTTCATAGGTCTTTAACAAACTGGGATTCAGAGTCAAGAACATAAAAAATTGCCTTGCTAAACCTGGCTTTCTTCACTGTCTTTCATATTGCCCCTGACTAGTTTTACTGGAAACTGAATCTCCAGAACATGATGAATTCCATGGGCATACAACTAAGCAAACTGGAAAGTGAAAGGGCTAGGATATTGGTTCCCAGGTCTAAGCCAGCTGTATTTGTGGGTCTCTTCGCCAAAAGATGATGTCAAACAAAGAGTTTGGGCTTTCCCCTGTGTGTATGATCCAAAGTTATAAAGAGGTAGTAAAAAAAGATAGTACTAGTTGTAATTATTATGAATATATTTGTACTGTTAAAATAAACAGTACCAGGTCATGAAGCTAATTGGCATGGTCTGGCTACTTCCACTCTTTTAAATTCTCTTCTCCCACCAAAGTAGGGCGTCTGTATTTAAACTGCCTGTTGGAATTATTCCCACCAATGTTTAAATCCCAGACTGTCCTTGTGAATAGTTTGGAGAGTTCTACTTATCCCAAGGCATGTCATGCTAGTTAGTCCATGTCGAGGTCTACAAGGTTTTAACAAATATACAGGGATTACACAAATTTCAAAGGTATTAAATAAGGACCATTGCTCTAGTTCTGGCTCCAAGTGTAAATATAACCTGTGTAAATGATGAAGCACACAGCATCTACACACTGGATACTTTTAAAGTGTATTGATGCTCCGCAAGGAGAGAGGGGAATTGAGCCAGGTTGTACACTATTTTATTGAGTGTGGAGGATGTTTACAGCCACCATTCTCCAAATATTATAACTTTTGATTCTGCTTGATGTAATTTATTACAGTGCTCTAGAGACCTGAAAGCACTTCATTCTGTGTTATCAGTAGGCAGTTAGATTTGGGACTCAGTTTTCACAAAGATACACACTACTGGTTTACTTTGTATTTTTTATGAAACAGTAAATTAGGCAATCTCTCTCTTTACAGAAAAACTACTTGCAAGGTTTCTGATTTTGTTTCCTGAGTGTTTTTTATGTTTTTTAGACTGATATGATAATTTCCTGTCTTCCACTAAAATAATACTGTTTCTTCTCAGTATAAATAGGAAAGTATTGGTCAGATATTAATTAAGACTATGTATATTTTTTTCTTGTGATGCTGTAAAACAGATATTCACTACTTCCTACAATGTCTCTTCCCTTGTTTGTTTTGATTTTTTGCAGTAATCTCTACTTTGACCTGCAGAGGAAATCATACAGAAAATTAAATCTAGAGACAATGATTGTAAAAGCATAGCGTGTCATAGTGCCAGGAAGGCCAGGATACAAACTAAGATGCAACCAGCAAAAGATAGATGGTTAACAAAAAATTACCCTCTAAGTGCCTTAATAGCAAGAAGACAAAGGAAAATGTTTGTCTTCTACTCAACATATCAGAGGTCAGCCTTCACTAAAAAGGTCAACTGCAAAAGGTGCTTATTGGAAATAATACTAGCAAAATCCAATGAAATCTCAGATTACAATTCAAAGGGAAGTTTTGTTGGTACGTGTGCTTTTAATGCCTGATGATATTTAAAAAAATGGTCAAAGTAATATCAGAGCTATTATCAAGATATTTCAGGGCATTTGTGTCTGCCAGATGACATAGCAAAAGACTAAGAAAGAGCAAACATCATGGCTGTTAATGGAAAAAGAAAGAGAAGTTGGAGAATTAGAGACTAGTCAATTTAACTTCAATCTCTAGAAAGAAATCTGAAATAAATGAACAAAATAATTGTATGCAGCTGCAAGGTAACAAATGAATCACCACCCTGAAGGATATGTCAAGATTAAATAGTGACAATCGATCTAATTTCCTCCTATGACAGTCTAACACTTCTTGTGGATGGGTGACAGGTGGTTGCTGCAACATGTTTTGATTCCAGTAAGGTTTATGACATTTCTTGACATTGCAGTATTTTAAACAAGTATTATACAGATTTGGTTATATGCACTTTGTTGGATAATCCAGTAATAGGTATAAATGGTTCACTTTCAAAGCTGATATGCTGACTGGGAGTCCTAAGAAGTTCTGTCCTGGATCCAGTTCCATGGAATACTCCCTTTATGGTGCATTAGCAAACGGAAGCCTGCTAGTTTTGCGGACAGGAAGCTTTAAAATACAGTGTTAGACATAAGAATGATCTTGACATGTTGAAGAACGAGTCTGAAAAACAGGGTGGAAGCCAATTGGGTACAGCTCATAGGCAAGAATAATCAAGTGTAGGTGATAGACTATGGGAAACGACTGGAGAAGTTACTGGAAAATACTTGAAAAGTATCTGGGGAAGTAAATTCTTTTAGGGAGAATTGGTCTATCCTCTTTTGCCTTGCTAGCACTTAGGGAGGCCATCCCAGATGCCCCTGTCTGCAGAAGCCAGTCAGATAGAGATGGTAAGGAAAATAATAGGTTCATTGTTAAGATTTATTATTATGGTTTAGTATTACATCAGCCTGTGGTAATCAGGTAGAGGGTTGATCAACAGAGACCCCCAAAAGCCCCATTCATATGGTGTACCTTATATTCCTTTTTTCCCCCATTTTTCTGCTCCCAAGTAAGGAACCCACCCAGATTTTACTCCTTCTCCACAGATCCTTATTATTTTCTAATTTTTATATGCTTGTTTGGTTATTTCAGCCTTCATCTGTGATACCACCACCACTGACAGTAAGCCAGCAGCCCTTTTTCATTACCTTTTGACATTCTTCACCCATTCTTCACTTCCCTTCGTATATTCCACCTGCTGGTTTATCCAGTTATTGTTTTATTAGTACAGCCACCAGCTCGAGATAGCCAGCCAACTTCTCCCTTTGCGTTGTATGCAAAGTCCAGCAGTGTCTCACATAGTTACCTCATCAGTTTAATATCAGGCCAGGGCAGGCCACAAGCTGAGTTAGTGCACCTTTGTTTCAGAAAAGACAGTGAGCAGAGGTTTTCCATGGCTTCTGTGGACAGGCTGA